GGGTTGTGAGATTGAGCCCCACGTTAGGCTCCACACTGGGCATGGTTTCTCTGCTTAGGATTCTTTCTCTCTCTCTTTCCCTCCTCTCCCACCTTCCTATGTTCCCCTCCCTGCCACTCACATGCTCTCTCTCTGTCAAAAGGAAAGAAAGAAGAAAGAAAGAAAAAGAAAGAAAGAAGAAAGAAAGAAAGAAGAAAGAAAGAAAGAAGAAAGAAAGAAAGAAAGAAAGAAAGAAGAAAGAAAGAAAGAAAGAAAGAAAGAAAGAAAGAAAGAAAGAAAGAAAGAAAGAAGAAAGGTAAATAATTTAACTATTTGACAATAGGATCACAGAGCTAAGATTCAATATCTGATCTGGTTTCTTACTTTCATCAAGCCTATTCAGTAAAAAAATAAACAAAAAAACAATGAGCATTTAATTCTATACCAAGTATCCATAATGGAAAGCTCACCACCAATCTTAACAATTTACACAGATTTCTAAAACTAAATTTATTTAATTAATCTTTGTTCATTAAACTTTCTTGATTAGTCTCCATATCTACTGTTTAAAACTTTAAAGTTATATTTTTATAACTTATATTTGGCATCCATTTTTAAAGAGACTGGAAAATGCAAACTCATATTTTATGTACACTTCATAATTTACATCACTTTGAATATTTAAAATTGGATTAGAATGTATGTATGAAAATAGGTTTAATTAAATTTTAAAATTCCTTAATTTTTTCCTTTGATATAAAAATTTTACTAGTTGCAGTTTATCTTAGTTTAATGAAACAAATTTACAAGAGATATTAATTCATTTTCAGTAAAAATCAAATTACTAATGTACCAATTAAAAGCATAGAAATATCTTCGTTTTCCAAAATAGAAATCTAAGAAAGGAAAAAAATATATTTCATTTAAATGTAGACAATAGAAAATTGGTTGCACCTATTTGCAAAGGATCATTTCCCTCATTCCGTGAATACTTTGGTTCTTGACTTACTGTTCCTCTCTCCAGTCTACTGATTACTATTATTAGAATTTTGATTTCCTTGCAGGTGTTCTTTCCAATGACCTTAAGCTTCTCTCCTCCAATGAATTTATTCTCCATCTTGACTTGGTTACTAATTTCCATGGATATTCCACTGATCTTCTCATTATTACCTACAGCTCAATAACCTTAATTTTGAATCCCATACCACATACTATCTCTTTGCATCTCACTGCCTATACTAACCCTAGTTTTATGCCTGCAGGGATTTCAGTCCAATTTTCCCCACCATCCGGAAACCTATTTCCCTTCTTATCTAACTGAAAGTCCAGGTCCCTTCATTATAATCATTCTCCGACAGGTGTTCTCAATTCCTTTGCCCTCTTCCCCAATTTGCCTAGAAATAACTGGGCCTGGTTCTTCAAACTTTCTGCTTTCTTTATGATGTTAATGCACAGATAGTGTGGTTGGAGAGAAACATATAGTCATATTGACTATTGCCCCTTTAAATTTAAAGGGCTTCATTTGAGCCCTCTTAATGTTTTTTATGAATCATACTGTATTTCCTTTATTCATTCACAGTCCCACTCCCCCTCTAAATCTCAAATCTTTTATCTACAAGCCAAAGTCAAAAGGCTGAGGAAAACAGAAGATTTTTATATCTCATCTGATTATGTAACTTGACCTGACCTGACCTGACCAATTCATTTGGCTAAAACTTTACTTGAAATTGACGTACATGTATAGCTATTTATGTTTTTTTTATCCTAATTAGTGCAAATATTCCTTTATTTCCCTACAGGTATATTAATGTTTTGATTACTAGGTATTACTTAAGACTCACTGGGGTTTTTGGGCAGCCCCGGTGGCGCAGAGATCCTGGAGACCTGGGATCGAGTCCAGCGTTGGGCTCCCTGCGTGGAGCCTGCTTCTCCCTCTGCCTATGTCTCTGCCTCTGTGTGTGTGTGTGTGTGTGTGTGTGTGTCTATCATGAACAAATAAATAAATCTTAAAAAACAAGACTTACTGGGGTTTTTCCTAATACATAAAGAATATATGACAGTATTACCTGTCCATAACCAAGAAAGTTCATGTTTTATGACTTATATGACTACAAAGGTCTTGGATAATAGTTATGGATCTTCTGTTTCTTTCCACATTACATTCTATCTCTATGAAGGAAATTATGACCATATATAAGATCTATATTCTTCTTGCATAGTATAAAGAAAAGATAAACTAAAAATAAGAGGCTTAATTCTTCCTTTAAAAATAAGGGAAGAAACCTCTGCACCCCTTAACCCTTTCACATTTTCTTATAAGGCTTACTGTAGAAAACTTGCATCTTTTTCCTTTGTTTCCTTAAAATGTATGTAAATCTTTTAAAAAGCTGAATAATCCAATTGCCAGCAGCTGTATGACACTATAATGTCTTTCTCAAGGACCCGGGGGCCATCTCTCTGAAATGTAATCATCAAGAAAGATAGCATCCCTTTCTCCTGGTTTCTGTTGGAGGGTAGGGGTCTTAAGTCAGTGGGTACCCAATACGTTGCCAAAGTACCTCTTATCATAAAAATATTAAAGTTCATTTTTTTCTTTGGAAAAAAACAATTAGCAAGCACAGATGGCTACCCCAATTATCAGGTGAATCTAGGAAGAATGAAGTGCGATAAATGGTGCTGTCAAGTCCTCTTATTTAAGGACTAGTTATTGTTTATCATGAGAACATCTATGCCATAGGGGTTGTATCTGCTTGACAATATAAAAAGGTAAGATTTCTTTCTGGTTTAAAGCCCATTCTTTAACAAAGCTATTTTCTTTCTCTTCTACTTTTGTGGAAAGGTTTTCTGAGGTGGCTGAAGATCTTTTTTTTAATGATATTCCCCAACACTACTAACTCTGTCTAACTTGCTGATTCAAAGACACTGCCCCCAGAAATTCTTCTCTCTTTCATGCCTTTTAAAACATTTTTCCTTAATTGATCTTTCTCATTAGCTGGAGTTTCTTCTATCCTGACTTTACACCCCTTCAAAAATGATTCTGTCTTTCTACTCTTATCTTCTCTCAAAATAGGACAAGCTCCTCCTGTATGTCATTTCTGATAGACACTCTCATTAGGCTTTTGACTTCACTACTAACTAAAATTGTTTTGGTTAGTGTCAGCCACAACCTCCAATGACAAAACTTTATAGTCTTCACATTTCTTCACTATCTTTGACAGCAGTGATCACTCCCTCTAGTTTGAAACCTTGTCTTCTTACTTCTGGGACACGACCTCACTTATTTCTACTACTGGCTCACTGTCTGGTGCTTTTTATTCTTCTTTATATATTCCTCCTTTTCTCTCAAACTCGAAACCATGGAGTGCCCCTGGGATCAGCCCTAACTTTCTTATCACCTTGATCTACGTCAACTTTGCTGGTGGTTGCATTCAAGCTCATAGCTTTATATATAACCTCATAATGATGTTTCCCAAAAATATCTCTCCTGTTTGGATTGCTCTCATAAAATCCAGACACATTTCCATATGCTTATTTGACATCGCTTAAAGGAGCAAATCTTGTGAACATAAAATCCAGACACATTTCCATATGCTTATTTGACATCTCTTAAAGGAGCAAATCTTGTGAACTATATACCTAAATCTAAATATCTAAAACCTAAATTGTATATCTAGTAAATACACCTAAAATCTATGAAACTGCATTTCCAAAATCTAGAATCTAACCATTTTCACCACCTCTGTTTAGTCATCATCCTGCACCAAGTTATCATCATCTCTGAAGTGGCTCGGTGCTTCCACTATGTCCTTCCACAGCCTATCCACAGCGCATACCAATCCTTCGCTTTAACCTACATGATAATCTCTGTATTCCCCTCAGAGTAAAATACATAGTTCTTACAAAGACCTACAAGGCCTTATAATATTTTGCACTCTACTAACATTCTGAAATTGTCACTGATGATTTCCCCCCCACACTGACTTTCTTACCTGCTCTTTAAACACATCAGACATTTCACACCACTGACTTCAATGGTTTTTCCTCGGATCTAGAATACCCTTCCTTTGGATTACTGCTTGTCTTATTCTTTAACCTTTGCCAGGGCTTTATAAAAATGGTATATATTTAGGAAAGACTTTCCAGAATGCTACATACAAAACTATGCATGTTTCATCAGGTGTGGCATTTCTGGTCTCTCCCCCTCTCCTTCCATCTCTCTCTCTCTCACTCTGTGTGTATATATACATGTATGATGTCTATATATCATATATATAGAGAAATGTCCATATTAATAGAAATGTCCATTTCTATAGTTCACACGCTATAAAATTTGTGTATGTGTATGTATGTATGTATGTATGTATGTATAATGTAGTTTCAGAATCACTGACACCATACATGGAAATCAACTAAGTGACATTCAGTATTTTAATAGTAGTTTTAGTTTAAATATACAGTGAAATGTACAAATATTATTTTTACAGTTTGATAAGTTTTGACAAATGCATACACCTGTGTAATCAGACCCTATTAAGATATAGAACAAAGCCATAATCGCAGAAAGTTCCTTCATTCTCTTCCTAATCAATGCTCTTATGTCCAAAACAACCAGTTTGCTGTTTTTTTTACCATATTAGTTACCATATATTAGATATATTAAAAATGACACTTTTATGGGTATATACTTTCATTTCTCTTGGATAAATACCTAGAAGTAGAATCTATATGCCATAGAACAGCTATATGGTTGTCTTTTTCATACAATGCCAAAGCACTATCCATTGTCCTATATCAGTTTACACACCCATTACACACAAACTCTTCCTACTTGCCACCATTTTCATATCTAGACTTTTAAATTTCCACCAAACTTCTAGTTCTGTAGAGCAATTTTATCAGGGTTTAAACTTGAATTTCCTTTATGACAAATGTTCATTTTCTTGTTTGTTTTTCTCTCTTTTTCTTAACTCCCATTGTATATCTCCCTTTGTGAAATGTCTATTCAAGAGTTTTGCTCATTTTCTAATATGCAATGTTTCATGAATTTGCATATCATCCTTGCACAGAGGCCATGCTAATCTTCTGTATATTGTTCCAATTTTAATATATGTGCTGCCAAAGTGGGCACTTGCTCTCTCTCTCTCTCTCTCTCTCTCTCTCTCTTTTTTAAGATTTTATCTATTTATTTTAGAGGCAGAGAGAGCAAGTGGCTGGAGGAGGAGGAAGAGAGACAGCAGACTCTGCACTGAGCACAGAGCCCCATGTGAGGGCTCCATCCCACAACCCTGAAATCATGACCAGAGCTGAAATCAAGAGTCAGACTCTTATCCACTCAACCTGCTGAACCACCCAGGTGCCCTAGCACTTGCTTTAAAAAAAAAAAAAAATACTGGCTTATTTGTCATTTTATTGTCACATGGGATTTTTATGTATTTGATTTGTTTTTATTTTTTTATTTTTTATTTTTTTGATTTGTTTTTATTTTTTAACCTATACATTTTAAAAATAATTTCTTCTAGGTTGTGGCTTATTTACTGATTTTTCTTTAACAGTGTTACTTGGCAAGTAGCATTTTTTTAAAAATTTAATGATGTCTGATATTTTTATTTACTTGCTTAAATTTTTTAAGGTGTTTTTTACTCTTGTCTAAGAAATATTTGCCTGTCTCCAAGTCATGGAGATATTATCCTCTGTTTTATGAGATTTATAGTTTTTGCTTTTTATGTTTAGGTGTATCATTTATCACAACTTTTATACATGGTGTGAGGTAGGGTTAATATTCTTTGTGGCACAGATATATAATATTCTAAATATTTGTTGAAAGGCCTTATTTACTGAATAGCTTTGGCAACTGTCAAAAATAATTGACTAAATGTGAGTGGGTATATTTCCAGACTGTCTATTCTGTGCTTTTGATTTTTTTTTTCTATCATCATGTCAGTATGGCTATAGTATTACTATTCTAGTTGTGTAATAGTTTTGTAAAGTGAGATTTTTTTAAGATCGGTTTTTCTTTTTAAAGTCTTTGTACTTCCATACAGTATGTCAATTTTAGAGAAATTCTGATAGAATTATGACTGTGATTACTTTGAATCTATAAATTAATTTTGAAAAAAAACTGTCATTTTTCACACTATTGTCCCCTCAAAACCATAGGTATGGCATTTATATCTCTAATTATTTAGCTTTCTTTTCCTCATAAATATTTTGTAGCTTTGCATCTTTCACTTATTTTATTCAATGTATTTCTAAGTATTTTATTGATTCAATAGTGTTAAAATTAATTTTAAAGTTTTTGTTTTGAAATAATTATAAACTCACAAGAAATGTCAGAAATAATGAAACAAAAAAAAAGAAATAATGCAACATATGTAGCTTCCTCTAATGGTGACACATTTTATAACTGCAATACAACACTGAAATCAAGAAAAATAATGTTAGTATAACATTGTTAACTAGACTACAGACCATATCCAACTTTTACTGTTTTTAACTTACATTTGTGTCTGTGGATGTGTATAGTTCTAGACAATTTCATTCCATGTAATGATTTGTTTAATCACCACAAAAATTAACTGTTCTAAGCTGTTCTATGACTACAAAAAAACTACTGTATTCCATTCCTGTCCCATGGCAGCCACTAATCTATTTTCCACCTCTATAGCTCTGTCCTTTTGAAAATGTTATATAAATGAAATTATACATAATGCCATGTTTTTTAATTACTTCAAAAGAATCTTGGGAATCGGTGGAAGTGGGTGGGAGTACAGATGAAAAATTTAACCATGAGTTGGTAATTGTCAAAGCTTGGTGATAATCTATAAGGGTTCATTATATTCCCTACTTTGACATACTTTTAATATTCCCTTGATCATAATAAAAAGTAAGGGCTATTAAAGAAGAGACAAAATATTTAGGTAGAGGATATTTAGAATAGAAAAAAGGGAGAAGAATGCTGTCTAAAGTTGGAAAATACATTAGAGAGAAAAATAACTGGGAATGTCAAAAGCTAGATAGAAGAAAAAAAGAAGAAGAAAAAAGCCAGATAGAATATAACCAGAGAAATTAAGTAAGGTTGACTGAGATAGCAGTAATAGGCATTATGATTAACTTCATGTAGTTGTTTTAGAAATGAGAAAAAAAAAATCAATGATATAATGTCCTCAAAGTCCATGCACATTATTGCAAATGTCAGGATTTTCCTCTGTCTCATGAAGAGATTTCATCATTATTCAGGTGATAAAAAGAAAGATATATAATATTCCAGTGTGTGTGTGTGTGTATAAATTCCCATCATCAAAAAAATAGAGAAGATAGATTATACATTCATATCTAGTCATAAATGACAACTCAAAGAATACAAAAAGATAGCTTCCATTCCTAAATAATAATACAAACAATAAAAAGATGGCTTCCAGTCTCAAATGTTAACATAGGTGATAGAAAAAATATGACTTCAAGTCATAATTGCTAATGCAAGACTTAGAGAAAAACTGTTTCCTGTCATAAATGAGAACTCAGATGAGAGAAAACAAAAAGTTTCAGTCATGAATTATAACTCAGGTTCTAGAAAAAGAAGTTTTCCAGTCATGAAAAGTCAGAGAGTAAAGAAAAAAGATTTCCATCATAAATGGTAACTCGGGCAATTGAGAAAGATATTTTCTAATAATTAACAATAACTCAGCTGATAAAGAATGAAAAGTCTCCAGTCATAAATGATAACACACAAGATAGGAAAGAATGTTTCCCAGTCATCAGTTATAGCTCAGGTAAAGTAGAAATAAAGTTCTCAGTCATAAACAGAAATCACATAATAGAGACAGAAAGACTTTCAGTCATAAATGACAATTCAGGTGGTAGAGAATGAAAGTTTTCCAATCACAAATGATAAATTAGGAGATAGGGAAATAAAAGTTTCCAATGATAAATGATAAGTGAGGTGACAAAGAAGAGTTTCCAGTTATAAATGGTAATACAGGTGATAGAGAAAGGTTTCCAGTCATTACTGAAAACTCACATGATAGACGCTTTTCAATGATAACTAATAACTCAGATGACCGAGATAGACTGTTTACAGTGATAGATGGTGACTCGTGTCATAGAGATAGGGGAATTTCAGTCATAAATGATAATTCAGGTGATAGAGAATGAAAGTTTCCATGACAAATGATAACGTAGTTAATAAAAAAATGTTTTCCGTGCATAGTAATAGAGAAAAGAGTTTTTCAGTCACAAGTGGTACGTCACGTGCCAGAGAAAGACCAGTTTCCAGCCATTAATGATAACTCAGGATATAGGGAAAGGTTTCCAGTCATAAACAAGCCAGGTGATAGCAAAAGGTTTCCAATCATAAATGATGACATGTTATAGAGAAAGAACTTTTCCAGTTATTTTTGATAACTCATATGATAGAGAAAAAGATTGCTAGACAAAAATAATAACTCACATGATAGGGAAAAAGGGTTTCCAATTATAAATAGTGACTCATCTGCTAGAGAAAGGTTTTCAGTCATAAATAATAACTTATATGATAGAAAAAAAGGTTTACATTCATAAATAATAAGTCAGGTTCTAGAGAAAGTTTGAAGTCATGAATGATAACCCAGATGCTAGAGAAAGATTTCTAGTCTTAAACAATAAGTTAGGTAAGAGAGAAAGAATGTTTCCAGTCTTATATCATTATTCAGGTGATAAAAAAACAAGATTTCTAGTGAAATATAATTTTAAGTAATAGAGAGAGAAGGTTTCCGGTCATAAATAATAACCCAGATGATTAAAAAAGTGAAAGAAAATAATTATACATTGCAATGTGTATGGAAAGCAAGCAAAATATATTAAATAAACTGAATTGGTGATCCTAAAGAAATACATGCAAAAAAAAAAAAAAAACAACTTGATTTATCACATGCATGTCATAGATTCCAAGCTTTTCCATGCGAAGATGAGTTAAAAGTAGTATTACAATTGAATTTACTCTTTATACAGTAGTTAGTATAGATAAGGGAACAATTTAAATAAATAATACTAGATTATGATACAGGAAATATATAGGGAAAAATTAGCCAATATGGAGGAGTCTTGAAAATGGACCAAGGTGATTTAAAAATATTACTCTCTTTAAGGGCAGCTTCAAGCAAAATGGACAGGAATTTTCAGATTAGGATGGCAGCTACTGTGTGGATTTGTGACTCACTGGAACCAAACAGAGGGGAAAAATTTCGTTTAGTGTCATATTCCAGAGCAGCTCACTCCAGTAGAACTTCCTGCAATTTTCTATGTCTGGGCTGCCCAGTATCTTAGCCACTAGACACATGTGATTACTGAGCACTTGAAATGCTGGCTAGCATGACTGAGGAACTGAATTCTTAATTTAGTTTGTTTAACTAATTTGAATTTAAATAGCTACATGGAGCTAACAGAATATTGGACAACACTGGTCTAGAGAAATCAATAAATTACCTCCTTTCAATCAACCTATTTCAACCATCCAGATTTTGGAATTAGTTATGGATCTAACTGGATTTTCTGTTCCTTAGGAATTGTCAACTCAAAGAGATTATTATATAAGACTTGTTCTTATTTTCCCTCCCAGGGGCCCAAATATACATGTATTTGTATTTATACTTATGTAAATATTTATATCACCAGTTATTGCCTAAAAGACATATTTATGGCCAAATCAATATAGGTGGGCCCCTATGTTACATACAATCATAAGAAAAAATATATAAGAAACACAACTTCACTTGAGTCTTTTCTTGAAGGGGAAATAATATCCACGCTGATTTTGAACAATCAAGTAAAACATATATACATATATCTTACGTAAAAACAATTAAGTAAGGAATATACATATAATCTAATATGTGTATTAGATTGACTTTGAATAATGATTCTGGCATCTAAGTTGATAAATTGACTCACATCCTTTAGTTATATATTAGCGTAGTCTTAAAACAAAACAAATAAAAAAAAAAAGATCCAATTTGGCTGAAGGAAGACACTAAACCCATGGGGATTTTGAAATAGCTTAAGCAAGCAAAACTTACATTCTGCTATTATCTGCATTTTAAAATGTGCTCATTACTTAGCTTCTGGGCAGATATAAGAGGCTAATTACAATACTTA